CGCTGTGCCACTCCTTTGTTCCCCTAGCTTGGCCCTCTGGGCACGTGTTAATGGACATCTCCCAGCCCTATGCTGGCCTACCTAACAGAACCTCACAATTGTGTGGCTGGCTCAGCACCTGGTGGTGTGTCATTCTGTTGCCCACAGGGTTTTACTATGCGTGTCCTGACTTCAGGCACCTAAGACCACAACATGAGTCGGAAGTGACTTTTTGGTAATGTATTGCTGCTAACTTCAAATAGCACAAAGAGAAGAAAGATACAGACTCCTGAGGGCAATGGTCAGCAGTTAGTCAAAATAGTGCCGGGAGGATTCTCAGCTATGTGGCCAATGTTAGAGGATAAAAAAAAAACACAGAAAATGGTCACCAATGAAATGGCAAATTAGAAAAGTTCACAGGATTGGTCCTGGGGTCCTCTGATCCCTTGGCTACTTGATCGCCAGGGCATTATTACTTCTAAGCGGCTCTGGGACCCAAACTTCTGGATGAGCGTTAGGGGGCTGTAGTCTACTTCCAAGCACTGCCAGAGCAAGGAGGGTCCCCGCTGCTGTTCAGGATCAGAGTGAACTCAAAGGAGGCAGAACTTCTGTCAGGCCTCCCACGGTAAGTCACAGCCTTTTACAAACCACGTGCTTTAGAATGCATGTTCTAATACACACCCAAATACATGCGTGGCGGAAGATGCTCGATTCCAGTTAGCGGCTAATGGACGTATCCCCAGGACAACAGGAGCCACCAGAGGGTTTATGGCCAGGGACAAGCGGAGAGTCGCTTGCCAGCTGCTGGCTGGGAGACCCTCTACCCCCTTCCCCCCTCCCCAAGGAGGTGGAGAATGTGTGGGCGTCAGGAAAAGGAGGATGCCAGGAGCAGTCACAAAGGAGAGGCGAGAACGCCCTTCCAGTGCGCGGCCGTGAGGAAGGAGCGAGGGAAGCAGATCCGAGACACTGGGGCGCCTCTGTTTGCCCGACGCGGGTAGGGGAACCCTCTCTCCCTGCTGCACCTGCCCGGGCATGGAGGTTGAGCTTCATTCACACCGTTCCCAGAGCTCTCTCGTGGAAGGGCCTCGAGGGTCAGCAAGTCTCGCCTCGCCACCCCCGCAGCCCTCAGAAGCACCCGCGTTCTGCCGCAAGCCTCTCAGCACCGTCTCCTACCAGCACGAGGCTTCTGCGGACCCCTCGGCCGCTGCTCCCAGCCCCAGGCTGGGGTCGCCGCCTCTCGGCACCGCGACAGCTCCTCGGCGTCGCTGCCGCTGCTACTGCTGTCGGAATCGCTCGGAGAGGTGCTGGGCGCCGCCATCTTGGGCTGCCGCAAAGGATTGTGGGGCGCTCGGTCCCTGGGCGAGACGCCTTGCTACGCTAACGTGGGAAAACGTGCGCGCGCAGGGCATTGTGGGGATTGTAGTTGCAGCCTCAAGCCACCATTGGCTGGGAACTGCTTTGAGGGCGAGGGGAAGTCCGGTGGGGAGGGCTTGGACACCCTCATCTTTCTCCCCCGAAATACTAGAGGTTGACCCCTTCGGGTTCACCGTCACTTCACCTCTCTGCCATGGAGTCGATGCCGACTCTGACACTAATTGTTTATGGGCGTACAATTTGTGATCCTCGACATCTCCAGGGCTCCTTTGGGAGGAAATAAGATTGCTTCAAGAAATAACCAGATTGGTTCCGAGGCGTTGGGCCAGTGTAGTTCCAGCATTGGTTATTCTCAAATAAACTCATTGCTGTCAACTCAATTCTGGTTCACAGCCAACCTATATGCCAGGGTAGAACTGGCCCTTTGGATTTCCAAGACTGAAAACATTTTGGTTATGTTAGTTTGAAACTAGCTCTTGTAGATCTAAAAGTGATGGTGAGGGGGCATGTGATGGTGAGGGGGCATGTAATGCTGAGTGGGGCTTGATCAAGAGCAATGTATCTGAGAGGAAATACTGAGAGCTGAACGGAGGGTGAACAAGATAGTGGGATCGGAGGAAGGTGAAAGGAAATAGAGGAAAGAAATAGGAAGCAAAAGCTATTTATAGAGGTATAGCTATAGGCATGTCTATATGTAAATATATTAATTTATAATGAAAGGGATAGAAGCCAATGTGCATATATTTATATGACAAGTATTAAGGTAGCAGATGGACTTTGGGCCTCCCTTAACACAAGAACATTTTGTTCTGGTAACCTGGCACTCTTGATACTCATCTTCCCAACAGGATCACTAAAAACAAAATGGGTACATAAGCAAGTGCGGTGAAGAGAGCAGATGGTGCCCGGTATCAAAAGATATAGCATCTGGAGTCTTAAAAGCTTGAAGTCAAACAAGTGGCCATCTAGCAGGGAAGCAAATAAGCCCCGGTGGAAGAAGCACACCAGCCTGTGTGACCACAAGGTGTCGGCAACAGGATCAGGCAACAGGTATCAAAAGATCCAAACAACTGTATTGGTGTGAAAGAGGGGGGTTGGCCCATCAGTAGATAATTGGAAATCCCTCCACAGAAGTGGTATAAGGAAGGGATGATTCAATCAAGGTGTAGGATAGCACCGATGAATCACGCATCATTTCTCTAGTTCCTGAATACTCCCCCCGCCCCACCCAATGAACCAGTTCTACCTTACAAATCTGACTAGTCCAGCAAACACACATTGGTATAGATAAGAGCTCTCGACACAGGGAATTCAGGAAAGAGAAATCCCTCAGGAACAGTAATGGGTGTAGCAATAGCATAAGGGTAAGGGTAAGGTCAGGGAGGGGGCTATATATCACAAGATTGGATATATAGCCCCCCCCCCCACTCCGCAAAGGGGATGAATAACGGAAATGTGGGTGAAAGAGACAAAGGACAGTGCAATATATGAAATAACAATATATAATTGATCAAGAATACAGGCGGGCGGGGGAGGAGGAGAGGAGGGAAAAAGAGGAGCTTTTATCAAGGGCTCCAGCAGAAAATGTCTCGGAAATGATGATGGCAACATATGTACAAATAAGCTGGACACAATTGATGTATGGGATGTTATAAGAGCTGTAAGAGCCCCCCGTAAAATGATGGGGGGAAAAAAAGAAACTAGTTCTTATATCACAAAAAATTGAAGTCAGTTTCAATTTTACTTCTCCTCCTTTTAGAACCACTGAGATCAGTGTTTAGATCTGATGCGTAAGGAAACGAGGACTTTTTAGGCTGTGACCTCTCAAAATTAAAAAAATTATTTTAAAATGATGTTTCCCTTTTATACGTGGAGTATAATATATACAAAGAGAAAAATACTATATGTAGTTGGATAGCCGATAACATCAGAACAGTGATAAACTCAAAAGAACCATCGAGACCCTGTAGGGCAGGGTAAGTAAAACTGCCCAATGTTTACTCTGTCCTATAAGATTAGGTAGAACTGCCTCTGTGGGTTTCTGAGACTATACTCATTATGGGAGTAGACAGCCCTGTCTTCCTACCAGGGAGTGGCTAGTGGTTTAGAACTATCAGCCTTTCCATTGGCAGCCCAGCACATGGCCATTATGCCACCAGGGCTGACAGCATTTCAGTCAACACCTCTACCTGAAGCTCTTTCTTCTCCTTCCCTCCCCGCCTTCCCCTCGACTTCCGCCCTCAGCCCAGCCTCTTCAGATTCTTTTCCTTTGGCGTGAAAACACTTTCCCCCTTTTTAAGAATGATGTCATGAGATATTTGCCTTGATGAGATTGACTCATTTTGCTGAGCATCATGACGTCCAATTTTGTCCGTATCCCGAGGTGTTTGACGGCCTCACCGCTATTTTTCAGGGCTGCATCAGCTTCCATTGTGTGTAGGTACCAGATCTCTTGTGTCCTTTCCTCCGCGGGCAGGGTTTTCGGTTATTTCCATCTTTTTGCTATTATAGACATTGCTGTGATAAACACAGGTGTGCCTATTATCTACTTGTGTTTCTTTCTTTAGGGTGTGTACCGAGTAGAGAGATGGCAGGATCATATGGTATTTTTATTTGCATTTGTTTAAGAGATCAACTAGGAAGCCCCAGAGGCTGTTTCCACACTGGCCGTGCAATTCTGCAATCCCATCAGCTCGTTGTATGAGCCAGTCTCTCCGCGTCTGCTTTAGTAGTTGGCATTTTCTTTCTCTTTTTTTGAGTTTGTGTAAGAGTGTCTGTGTGAGGTGGTATCTCATCGTTGTTTTAATTCGTGTTTCTCTTATCGCTAATGATCGATGGCATGTCTTCACACGATTATGGACTTCCTGGATGTCATCTTTAGTCAATGGTCCATTTGGGTCTTGTTCACCCTTGGGGGTCTGCGCTATGTGTCTCAGGAGTCGTGTGATGTACTTATGTCTCAGGAGTGGAAGGGAGTTGACCCTCTGTCATCCTCACACTCCAAGACTTTGTCTCTCTCCGACTCCATTTCCCTACAAAGCCCTCCCTGCCCGAAGCTGAGACACTCAAATAATGAAACACTAGCCACTAGGGCAGTGTTAGCACCTGGGGAACGAATGGAGACCACTCCCAGGAGAACAAGGGAAGGCTGTGTATTCCCAGCTCCCTGCAGCCAGGGAAGCATCCTTTGCACTTGGATGAGAAGAAAAGGAGGCGGGGACATGACCAAACTTTACGGTGGAAAAGGGATCCACTGTGGGTGGATCAGAGGCTGCTGGCACGGGGAAGTTGCTGGGGGAAGGATCCCTAGAAGCAGAGCATCATATGTGACTGCCTAGGGGAGCATATTTGGCCTCTCTGGTTTGTCAGAAGTTGGAAGTGGGGAAAGATTTAGGGATGGCGTTGTGGTTGTATGTGGGTCCCCTAACTGCCACCAGCTGCCCCCCAGGTGAAAGATCGGGTTTTTGAATCCAGTGTAAAGAGTCACAGTTATTAACCAAACCCTGAACATTTGGGAGAGGTCGTTAGGGAGATTAGGGTTTGATTTTGTGAACTGGTGGCTGTGGAGGCTTTGGGTCACAGTGCTGTAGTCTCATCGTAAAACTGGCCAGTGCCAGAAACTGTGTGAGACAGAAAACGATCAGAGAAGGAACACTCGGGTCTTTCCTACTCAAATGAGTGGCAGAAAAGTGGTCAGACCGCCCCCTGTCAATGGCAGAGACCTTACAGGACTGGGAGAACCAAGAGGTCTGGCTGAGTTTGGCTCTCCTGGGTTTCACTGGGCATGATCTGGCAGCGATCCCTCGGGATCTTTGATCTCTCACCACCGTCCCCACTCACCAATCGGCAGGGCTAGGCTAACTGTTTACAAGCTGGGTAAGGTCTGAGGCTTCTTTGCAGAGAGACCTGGGAGGGTGTCTGATGAGTTTTGGATAAGATGCATAGCGAAATTCCCCAGAGGAAACTAGCTGGGTGGACAGGAAGCCTCTCCGGCTGTTTTCTGGGACAGGATGAGGGTGTCACTGTCTTGGATGTTATAGCTCCCCAAAACCACCCAATCCTGCAGGACTTGACCTTGGTACTCGAGCTGCTGCAGCTTCCTGGGCAGCCCCAGTGCGTCTTCAAGCTGCCCTTTCAGGGTCAGCACGAGGTTGTTGGGGTCCATGGCATAGGCATGGGTCCCCTGGTCTGGATGCCTCACAAACACCTGGATCTCCGGGGAGAAAGTCTCCAGCAGACAGATGCGGATGCTGGAGAAGACCCCGTAGTAGGCCAGGGAGCAGTGGCTACTGAGGAGCTGCCGTTCGCCGCCGGGCTCCTGAAAGGACAGCCGCTGCAGGCCTGAGTAGCCCCGGCTCCGCCGGACTTTCTCCTTGATCTTCTTGATGGCCTCGTAAGGGTCGACCCAGAGGATCAAGTCTGAGTAACCGCCTTGCTCCACTGTCACCTGGATGTCTCGTGCACTCTGGAAGGGAGAACGAGGGAGGTTGGATTAAACCCATGTTTCTCTAGCATCCAGAAGTTTCCATCTCATGTTCCCATCTTTTCATCAACAATGGCAGCAGCAGCCGCCACAAACATTTCTAGCAACCCCGGTGTCAGAGTGGATTAAGTGTTGGGATGCCAACCACAAGGTCAGCAGTTTGAACCCACCCGCCCTCCCCCTGAGGGAGAAAACTACCAGCAGCTTCTCAGGAGAAGGGAGAAGGAGGCTTCCTGCTCCCGGGAAGATTTACAGCTTCGAAAAACCCAAAGGGGCAGTTCAATCCTGTCTCTTGGGTTTGCTGAGCATCAACACCCACTTGATGCCAGTGGGTCGGTCTTTTAAGTTTTAACTCTGGGTGGTGGAAGCGAGTCAGCACTTGACTATCAGTCAAAACTTGGCAGCTTCAACCCACCTAGAGGTGCCTCTGGAGCCCTGGTGTCGACGTCGTCATGAGGACTCGTTGGGCTACTAACTGCAAGGTCAGCAGTTCAAAACCACCAACCGCTCTGAGGGAGAAAGAGGAGGCTTTTTACTCCCGTAGAGTCATAGCCTCGAAAACCCACAGGGGCGGTTCTGTCCGGTCCCATAAGGTCTGCTATGAGTTGAAATCGCCTCACTGCAGGTGGATCTGGGAGAGGTTCTTCCAAAAGCAAAAACTTGACAGAGCAGTCATGCTGTGCCCTCCCGGGGGAGAGGGGGAGGCGGGCAATGACCCACAGCATCTCATCCAAACACCACCGCTTCCCAGGAGACCCTGGCTGGGACACTTGACAACTGACTAGCTGGAAGGCCAATGGTTCAAACTCAGCCAGAAGAAAAGTCTGGCCACCTGTTTCCCAAAGGTCACAGCCCTGCGCGTTCTAGGGCACAGCTCTTCTCTGCACACACCAGCGGGCTCTCCATGAGTTGGGCCCACTTGATGGCAACTGGTTTGATTGGTTTCTCGAACCACCTCCTGGGTAGCACGAAAGCGGGATGTGCTTGGCTACTAACCGGAAGCTTGGAGGTTCAAGTCCACCTGGTGGTCTGCTCTCCACCACCACCACCCTGCCTTTCCACCAAAGAGATCAGCCATCACAAACTAGGTGGAGCGTAGTTTTTTTCTGACATGCCTGGGGTCGCCTGGAGCCAGCATCACCTTGACGGCAATTGATTTCACCACCTGCCAGGCCCTGTGTTGAGTGCCTTTCATAGTCTTTGCACACGTCACGCTGCCTTTCATAGTCTTTGCACACGTCACCCTGCCTTTCATAGTCTTTGCACACGTCACGCTGCCATCAGCGCTGTGAAATGGTTTCTGCTATTTATACCTGGTTCACAGAAGAGGAAGCTGAGTCCACAGAGGTAATTCACTGAGCATCCCAAAGCCTTCACCAAGCATCACAGCAAGGCTGTGAACTGACCCCTAAATCTGTGTCCCTCACCACTGCTGGGGGTCACACTCAAGTGCCTGAGTCCTGGTTCGGGAAGAGTGCCGCCAAGAGCTTCCGGGACCAGCTGGGCTTCTGGTGGGTTTGTTTTCAAGCAAGAATAGGGCTTGGCATTGCCAGGCCTTTAAAGTTTTCGAGAGAAAAACAATTGTATGACGGCTTTTATTTTCAGTGGGGGGAAAGCCCTCAGCATATAATTTTCAGCCCACTCATGGGATGTCTTTGGCTGGTGGACCCTCGGTTTGTAATCTCGGCACCATATCAAGGAGTCGGCACCGTATGGCAAGCAGGTCAGCCTGTTGTCCTCAGCACACCTGAGGGAACTTCTTGTCCCCACCTCCAGGCCTTTGTCCTGTAGGAACCCAGCTTAGCATGAAGAACTCCAGTGTGTTTTAAACTGCCTTCAACCCCTGCTAGCAGCTAGCCCCCTTTCCCCCTCCTCCCCCTCCCTGCTCTCCTGAGACTCCCTCCAGACTCTGCCCAATTAGCAAGAAATGTAAACAATCCTGTTAGACCTTGAACCATGACCTACAGTTGTGCTGTGCCCCCAGCACCCTACCCCCACCCCGACCTCCCCTCTATCCTGCCAGCTTGAGAAGAATGGAGCCCAAGATTCCTTTGTGGACCCACCTAGGAAATGAGCCTCCAGAGAACTCCCCGATCTGAACTTGAGGGAAGGGAGGGACGTGCTGGGGAGAGAGGAGTATAGAAGTTCAAAGGCAGAAATCTGACCCGAACAGTTAAAATGGTGTCAGTAGAGCCCCCCTATGATGCAGGCTGGACCTGATCTGGTTTGGCAAAATTTTCTGTATTTTTGGTTTGTACTGTTTGGCTCGGTTTTTGTTTGTTACATATTAGAGTGTGTCTCAGAGGTGTTATGTCCATGGAGGTCACCCTCTTGAAGCTGTTATACGCTTTTCTGGGTTGTGGCACATGAAACCCAGGATTGATGAACCCATAGGGACAGCAAGTAGAATAAAGGGTTCAGGTGGGGGTAGGGGTACAGCAGAGGTGTTGGGGTGAAAGGGGAGCGATGTCAAACAGTCTAAGTAGAAAAAGAATGTTTGGAAACTGTGGCAGTAATTGTCCAATGCTACTCTATGGAATGATATGTGTATTAAATCCCAATTAATCATTAAAAGGAATAATGCTGATAAAGATAAAATAAGAACGGGGGGGAAAAAAATAAAGAAAAGAGTGTAACTTCTTGAATATCCCTCCCCTGAAGTCAGCCCACTACTTTGAACTATAAAAATCCTGTACTTTGTCCTGGGCTGAGGCTCTAGCCTGCTTACAAACCAGCTGTGAATAACAGCTTTCATTATTAATCAGTGGTGTGGATTGATCTCACCAGGTACAACGGTCCCACCTGTCCCTCGACCTGGACTGCCTTCTGCTCTGACCTTCCAGATCCCCGCCCCTAGCTGCCAGGGCCCACCTTCCAGCCTTTCACTTCTACATGGGAGTGTACCCTGGAGACTTAGGGAATGTGCAGGCCCTTCACCTCCATGAACCTCAGTCTCCTCATCTGTCAACAGGGATGATGATGATGATGACAAACAATACTTGGCCTCCCTTCCTTACAGATGTGCTGCCTGGGCAAACATGTTACACACTAAAATGGGATAGAGATACGATTTAATGAGAGCTTAAATGCTGAGCACCCCAGTTTGCAGAAGGCTACGCATGACAGCGATAGCCGGAAAACCATTTGCAGAGTCCCCACAGTTTCACCGGCAACTGTGACAGAAGGAGCTGCCGCCAATCATGCTTTTGCGACCGTTTCTTTTCCCCTTCCATGCTCTTTCCAAAGCTTGGTTTCTCCACCCAGCCTCGGACGCCATTTTGACCTTGTGTCAATGGCCACCCTCCTTTGGATGACACGTCTGCTGTGTCCTTATGTTGTCTCTGTCTCTTTAAAGACTTAATCAACGTTCTCTCTAAATTATATTTGAGATGAGGTCTCTTTTGTACCCTAAAACGAATATGATTTCTTATTTTTTGATCTCTGCGTATCGTATCTTGTCGCCTTGGAGAAGTGGCTCTCGGTGTGTTGTGAAAGTTCCTTTCTTGGACTCGCTTTGTAACAAAACAGGATGAGCTTTCGGAGGATGGGACCACAGCCTCGTTCTCTATCACCTTTATCCGCTATCCCTTACCCCAGAGCAGCCCCAACAATGCTGGCACCAAACAACGGATTGAGTTGACTTGGCTGTTCACCTCCTTTAAAGGACGATTGAAAACATGGAGCTGGTTCTTAGAGAGATTATAGGAGAGAGAGCAGAGGGCGAGAGAACCGAAAGAAAAGGAGCTGAGGCTCAGAGGGTCAAAGAATGTTCTCAAGTTCACATAGCTAGTGGGTGGGACAAGCTTAGTCTGATGCTAGTTTTCATGGCTCCCTGGACATGGAACACTCTGATCTCAGTTTGAGCTCTGCGCCCCTGATGCCCTGAGTATTACCTTCACATTCCACCTGGGAACCGGCGCCTCCTGGTTGTCATAGCAACAGTCTTGTTTCAGGCACTGGCAAGCCCTCTGCTCAACTATGTCCCATCTGTACCCTTCCGCCACATTATGGGTGGGGTCAACCGGATCCAGGATGATGGGCCTGCAACAGAGGGAGAGGGTGTGCAGGCTCCTTCCGGTTTGGAGGTCTGCCAGCCAGAAAGACATTTTCTCAGCAAGCCACTGAGTCCAGGAGGGTCCCCCAAACATCACTGAGAAGTCACGGGTTGAAGACCCTTAGATTGTCAAGAATTCCTCTTGGGGAGGAGTGCTCTCGGACTTTGCTTGGGACTTTGGGAATGGAGTGAGGCTCCCAAAGTCATGTCGGAGCGATAGCAGGTGTCTCCGCAGGAGCTGGAGCAAGGAGATCTGAACGGGACATGGTAGCATTTGCCACGATAGTAAACACGCACCTGGCAGCATCGAGTCAATTCCAACTCACGGTGACCCCACGTCACAGAGTACAACTGCCCTACAGGGTTTGATGGAAGCAGATACCACATCTTTCTCCCCAAGAGCTGGTGGTGGGCTTCAATGGCTGACCTTTCGGGCTGAAGCTGAGCCTCTGACCCACTGTGCCACCAGGGCTCCGTATGGCAACCTTAATACTTAATGAAAAGATGCTAACAGCCCATTTGCCATGCAGCCTATTCTGAATCTTGGAACTCTGCTCCGCAGGGCGGTCAGCGGCTGCTCTTTCAGAAGTCCATCACCAGGCCGTCCATCGTTCATCCCAGGTCCCTCAGGGCGGACTCCCGTTTCCCTCAGCAGCAAGCGCTTAACTGTTTATGCCACCCAGTGACTTTGTTGCTTAAGGAAGCCCACCTATAAAGCTGAATAGGGAACCCTGGAGGCATAGTGATTTATGTGTTGTGCTGCTAACTGCAAGGTTAGCGGTTCAAAACCACCAGTCACTCCGAGAGAAAAAGATGAGGCTCTCTATTCCTGCGCAGATTTACTGTCTCAGAAACCCATAGGGGCAATTCTGCTCTGTCCTATAGGAATCAACTCAATGGCAGTGAATTTGGATTTTTAGCTTAGTGTTTTTGAATAAGACAGAATACCACTTTCCCCCCACTTCTCTTTTCTCGGTGACACCAGGTGGCCAAGAGTGGCTCCGTCAGTACCTCTTTTTCTTGAGCTGTTTTCTGACAAAGGTGTCAATGACTGGGGACTGCAACGTGTAGTACTTGGTCCAGTAGATGCAGATACACTCATGATCCTGCAGCAGTTCCATCACAGTGGTAAGGCCTTCATCCAGCCTGAAGTTCTCACTCTCTTCAGTACCCATTTCCCAGGCATAGATGGTCAGTAGCTCAAGGGCATAGATAGGGGGCAGGTTGGCCCTGGGGCACTTGGCTTGCACGTACTGTTGAGAGAGGAAGTGACAAAGAGAGAGTGAGTGACCCTAAGATTCTGTTTCAGGAATAAATAGACCGGAAGCTGGAAAATGCAAGTTCTATTTCTAGCTGAAGGAGCCCTAGTGGCACAGTGGTTAAGAGCAGCAGTTCGAGCCTCCCAGCTTCTCCGTGGGAGAAAGATGTGGGGGGTTGCCGCCTTGGAAACCCTGCTGGGCAGGTCTATTCTGACCTCGAGTCACTATAATTTGGAATCAACTGGACATCAGTGGGTTTGGCTGTGTTTTGAAGTTCCAGCTCTGCTACCTACTGGCTTTATGGCCTTGGCCATAGGCTTGGCTTTCCTTCTCTGGGTCTTGGCTTCCTTGTTTTGTTTCTTTCAAAGTCATTTTATTGGGGACACGTACAGCTCATCGCAATCCATACTTCCGTCGATTGTGTCAGGCACATTTGTACATAGGTTGTCATCATCATTTTCAAAACATTTTCTTTCTACTTGAGCCCTTGGTATCAGCTCATCGCCCCTCCCCCCTCATCCGGCTTTCTTGTTGCAGAATTGAGGGACTGGAGTCACTAGGGATGAATATTTGAAGAGATAACCCAGAAGATGAGCAGGTTAGGCCCTCCCCCCTGCATCCCAACGTAGGCAGCTTCATTTTGTAAAGGCACTCACAAACACCCACAGCCTTCTGCCTGGATTACAGCTCAGCATAAAGAAAACAGGAAATTTCACAACCGAACCAATCAAGATAAACAGAGAAAAGATTGACGTTTCCAAGGATTTAGTTTTACTTTGATCTGCAGTCAATGCCCATGAAAACAACGATCAAGAAACCAGCGATGGGGGAAGAGGGGAGGAAGGGGTAACGGATCCCCCTCGCCCCAGTGGGATGAACAACAGAAACGTGGGTGAAGGGAGACAGCGGTTGGTGTAAGACATGAAAATAATTTATATATTATATATTTTTATAACTTATTAAGGGGAAAGGGAGAAGGGATGGGGGAAAGAGGAGCTGATAGCAAGGGCTCAATAGAAAGTAAATGTTCAGAAAACGATGATGGCAACCTATGTGCAAGTATGCTGGATACAATTGATGCATGGAATGTTATCAGAGCTGTGAGAACCCCCCAATAAAATGATCTTTTAAAAAAGAAAGAAATCCATGACATATTGCGTTGAGCACTTCTATTGCCAAATACCTTTTTAAACTATTAAAAAGGAAGCTGTTGCCATGAGGACAGAAGTGTGCCCGACCCAAGCCAGGGTGTTTTTAATGACTTCAATTCCTGTGCCTGCGAAAGCTGAGCCATTGACAAGGAAACCCAAAAAGAATGAATGCAATTGAATTATAGTGTTGGTGACGAATATTAAAAGTACTCTGGATGGACAGAAGCATGAACAATCTGTTTTTTGGAAGAAGTACAATCCTAATAATCCTTAGAGAGTTTGTCTCACATACTTTGGACATGCTATCAGGAGGGACCAGTCCCCAGAGAAAGGCATTTGCTTGGCAAGGTAGAAGGTCAGGGGAAAAAAAGAAGAAGAAGATCCTCAACGCAAGGGATTGATGTGGTGGCTGCCAGAATGGCCCCAAACGAACAGAGCTACAGCCGTGAAGGTGGCTCAGGGACCAGCCCTGTGTCATTCTGTTGAGCGTAGGTCACTACAAGTTAGAACTAACTGTTGGCATCTACTGACAACTCTATACAACAGAATCGCTTTAGTTGAATTGTTGATGGTTCAGTTCAGTGGAAGCCTTTTACCTGACACTAGAAGTCATAACCTTTTTCTTCTTTCACATCCTACTACCCCAATGTTGTTGCTAGTGGCCCTCGAGCCGGCTCTGACTCACAGGGACCCTTTGCATGACGGGTAGGGTGCTGTCTAGCCCTTCTCCACTCTCACGGTGGCTATGTTTGAGCTCATTGCTACAGCCAGTAGCAATCCATCTCATTGAGGGTCTGCCTTGTTTCCGGTACTTCACCAACCGTGAGGTCCTTCGCCAGAGACTGGAGACTTGTCCTGCCTGTAATATGCCCAGAGTAAGTAAGAGGAAGTCTCTGTACCACTCCCAGAAGGGAATTGACAGGTGAATGCTTACAAAAATTAGTTTATGCTTTCAAATGTTTCTGATCCTCTCAAAATAACTCCCCAAATGTAATTCACGTTGGCCATCCATACGTTCTGCTTCTGC